GACTACTACGGCTACTACTACTACTACTACTACTACTACTACTACTGCCACTACGGCTACTACGACTACGACGACTACTACTACGACTGCTGCTACTACTCGTCCTAATACGACTAATGATACTACTACTACCAGTACACTTATCACTGCGACTATTGCTACTAGTATCACTACTACTACTGCGACTACTACTGCGACTACTACTACTACTACTACTACTACTACTACTACTACTACGACTACGACTACTACTACTACTACTACTACTACTACTACTACTATTCCAACAACTACGACGACGACGACGACGACGACGACTACTACTACTACCACCAGTACTACTACTACTACTACTACCACTACAACCACTACCACCACTACAACCACTACTGCCACTACTACTGCGACGACGACGAGGACGATTACTACTACTACTACTACTACTTCTACTACTACTACTACTACTATTACTACTACTACTACTACTGCCTCTACTACTGCTACTACTACTATTACTATTAATAATACTAGTACCCGAGGCAGTCTCACAACTGCGTATTACTACTGCTACCACTACGACTACCTCTACTACTACTACTACTGCTACTACTACTTCTTCTTCTACGACGGCTACTAATTCTGTTTTTACTGCTACTACTGTTACTACAATCGCTATTACTACGACGCCGACAATTACGACGGCTATTACTTTTACTTCTACCACCACTATTTCGATTACTGTTACTACTACTTTGACGACAACCAGTACTACTAGTACAACAGCAGCAACAGCAACTACTACACCCGCTACTACCACTGCTACGACATCCCCTGCTACTGCTGTTGCTACTGCTACTACTACTGCTACCACTACTATAGCACTTCTCCTACTACTACTACTACTACTACTACTACTATAACTATAACTACGACTACGGCGACGACTACTACTACTTCTCTACTACTACTACTACTACTACTACGACTACTACTACTACTAACACTACTATTTCTACTCGTACTACTGCAACTACGACTGCTGCTTCTACTACGAATACAACTACTACTGTTACTACGGCTGCTACTACTACGACTACGACAACTACTACTGCTACTACTACTGCTATCACTACTACCACTGCTACTATTACTACTACTACTACTACTACTACTACTACTACTACTACTACTACTACTCCTACTAGTACTACTACGACTACGACTACTACTACTACTACTACTACTACTACTACTACTACTACAACTACTACTACTACTACTACTACTACTACGGCTACTACTACTAGTATTACTACTACCACTGTGCTTACTAGTACTACTGCTACTGCTGCTACTACTGCGGCTGCTACTACTACGACTACTATTACTATTACTACTACTATTTTCTTGACGAAGATGTCGGGCTCTGGTGCGCCGGTCAAAGTCTGCGCAAGGGCGGCCGTGACAACTTTACCGGATCTGTCATTCGTAAGAAACGTGTATGTACCCGAACTGAGAACGAAGACCGGATTGCGACTCATCATGACGAGAGTGAGCGGTGTCAAACCTTCGTCACTGCTCTGGACGGCGGCCGTGAGATTGCTCAAGACACGCAAACTCAGCTTGCCCGAGTCCTGAAGGTAAAGTGGCCCGCCAGACAGCTGCGTCGCAATGTAAGCCAGCGCCGTCGCGTACCGAAGAATGATGGCAGCCGTCCCAGCTAGCGCAACGACAGGTCATGATCCACGTAATTGCGCAGGAAGCCCGGTCGAGTAGAGCATGAGCCCGAAGTAGGAGTACAAAGCTTCAAGATCCGAGCTGGAATACAGGATGCGATAGACCACGTTGCCGTCCCGCGAGTCAAAGGTCGATCCAAGGGTCGTCAAGCCACCCATACTGAGAAGGCCGTGAAGACGTGCGCAGAGACAAGATCTCGTTCCCCCAATCGTCCCGATCAACAGGAAGAATGATCCAATCGCAAAGCTCGCCATGATAGTCCACAAAGACCCGGCCACGAGCGCAAGGCCTTGAAACGACAAGCCGAAAGCAGCCGCAAAAACCTCCCAATGCGAAGGACGTGAATCCGGTCCAACAGGCCAGGCGAACGCGATCACAACTTGCAGCACTACACCGGCGACGTACTCTAGTACTTCTGCTACTACTGCTTCTACTCCTGCTGTTACTACTAAAACGACTATTCCTACTGCTACTACTACTACTACCACTACTACTACTACTGCTACTACTACTGCCACTACCATAACCACTACCACTACTACTACTACTACTACTACTACTACTACTACTACTACTACTACTACTACTACTACTACTACTACTACTACTACTACTACTACTACTACTACTACTACTACTACTACTACTACTACTACTACTACTACTACTACTACTACTACTACTACTACTACTACTACTACTTACTACTACTACTACTACTACTACTACTACTACTACTACTACTACTACTACTACTACTACT